CATCAAAAGAACACAAGCAAACATCACGTTTGTACATTCTTAACTGTTTGTTAACTGAGGTAGTATGCAGTTTATTTAAAGTTAAGAATTCAGTAGATTCTGAAGTGTTTTGACGATGGTCCATAACCCTCGGAATTACTGGGCTTTTGAACTTTGTCCGTCGTGCGGTATTCTAAAAACTAGAGGACATAACATGTCAGCAACTGGAACTGTTTCTGTCCTCAGGCGAACGAGGGAGAGATACTTACTCTGTTGGGAAGGCCGCACCATAGCTCAAGCGTTTAGTCGCTGGCTTTCTACCGCGGCGGTCCGGGTTCGATCCCGGGTCTGGTCAAGTGGGATTCGTGGTGGACAAAGTGGCGCTGGGGCAGGTTTTCTCCGAGTACTTCGGTTTCCCCTGCCAATCTTCATTCCACCAATTGCTCCACAATCACCCTCACCTATCATCTGGGGCTGGTACAATAGGCCAGAAGTGGCCGCAGTACAAGGGACTTAGTCCCACCCCACTGGAAATAAAAAAAATACTCTGTTGGGTCCCGTAGAAATACCTGACCTCACTCACTGGACAACCTACGCCAGTATAACTACAGCTACACAAATACCCGAGTCTAGGCTTAGTCAGTGGGAGATAATAGGAAAAAGTACAATAAACTTTTGTGAAAAAGCATGCACATGCCTGAAACTAGGACAGAAAATATGTGGAAATTTTATGCAACAACAACAAGGCCAACAAACCAAGTCTATGAAAACCAATGAGTAGGATTAAACGGAGAATGTTGTGAAACCATTTTCTGCATGCCGATATGTGGAATGGACGATGGGCAAAGTCCAAAAACCCAGTAATTCCGAGGACTAAGAATTCAGTAGTTCTGTTCTGCGCGCGTTTCTCATCCGACATTCAGTGTTCTCCAAAAAGGTTTATTTCATATTTGTTATTCTTTCCTTTGGCGTCACTTGTGGTCTCTTCAGACGTATATGCGGCGGCAAAGCACCATTTCCATGTTACCAACCATTGAGCCATAAGTTTTGAAACGAAAACAGCTGATTTTAGACTACAAGTGTAGTTCATTGCACCCGTAATCAGTACATTTTCTGAAAACATTTCGTATATTCTCAGATATTTTAAACTTTTTCACCGTTGTACCTCGTGATAATTCCATATGAAGTTACGAGTAGATCTATATATATGTACACATATACAGCAAGAACAGATTTACATACATTGCCATATTTTACATGTGCGACTGTAAACACGATGTTTTATTACATTTTATTATTTATTATTAATTCTCAGACCTTTGAAGAGTTAATAACTTTCGATTAATATTACATTTATTAACATTAATAATAGTTTGTTGGTTACTGGCTGAAGCAGAGTATTATAGGTCCACACTAAAAGTGTCCAGTGAATTTAATTTCGGTGGGTACCAGTCAATACGAGTACATAACCTACCTTACATGACGCCAAAATTATTGAATTTCTTAAAACTGGCATAATATATATATTTTGTTAAGCTCTACAAGTTTTTCTTGTAGAACTTTACGACTATAATGAGGAACATTTAATAAAAAACAAGCAAAAGTAATTTTCAGCTCTGTGCATCGTGATATTTGAAGTGACATTAGCTGCACAACAATAGAACTATGAAGTGCGCGCCATCAAAAGCGTGTCCAAACTCCTACGATCGTCCCTCCAGCTAGCTTTTGTCCACTATATTTACAACGCCCTTCATAGAACTAAACAACAGAAAGGCATAATAAGAGAAGAGGACGTCCTCTGAAATCCATTTTGAAAAGACCATTTGTCCAGTTTTGTTTAACTGAAGCATGCTCCAAATCGTTATATTTTTAGCAGCTTAGTATTTTGAACTCCGACCGACGTCATAGCAACCATGAACTACGAGCATCCGTTCGTGATCTGAGCCAAACTGACAAGCGAAGTAATCCGTCGGTTGAAAAGAGAAATCCGACTACAGAGAAACCTCTCGTCTTCCTAGAAGACAGAGCCCAACACATCTTGACGGAGGAGAAGAGAGATCTTCATTCTTTAAGAATGCTGAAAGTATGGGGCCTTACTGGAGAAACTGATAAGTTTTCATTGTCTTTTTACTGAATGATTGATATGGTAGGTAAAGGTGTTTGTAAAACTGGAGGAAGTGGAAAGCTTGCAAAATGCGTGTGGGCGAGGGTAAACTGTGCATAATGACATGCTGTGAGCAACTGTACAGGAATTCGTTTTCGTCTTCTAAGCGTACGTGAGAAAACAAACACCGTGGTAGCGAGAAGCGATGTTTCTATGCGTCATAAACTAAGTTCGACGCATGTGGCCACTGTTTGAATTAAACGAGGCAATAAAAGACACTTCCATTGTTGATAAATGCCAGGTTTCTTCATGTGGTTGGCGGTTAATGCCCCTTTGTTTTGCATGACACTGTACAAAATCTGAGAGATGTTAAGATATTCTGTATTTAAGTTATAATATTTTACATCTTATGATTCAAATTACTATAAAGAAAATTAGAGAAGCCGATAAGAGTGACCGTGCAGTCTAAGGCTGTCTTCGTTTGAACACGTAGATCGTGGCTTCGAAACGCGCTCGAGGCATGTATGTAGTAGTGGGATTAAAGATGCTTCAAAAGCACGGGTATTCGTTCAGGTACCAATGTTCACCTGTGTTCCTTCAGTAATATATTTGTATGCATAATAATATAAATTACAGACAAGTAACGAAAATGTTACTTGCACGTTGGTCAATTTAAATTCCTCAGACAATATGCGGTCAGATATGGAACGCATATCTTTCGGCAAAATTTTCTATGAAGCTGTAGAAATTATTATAATTAATGGACCGTGATTGTGAAGTCGTCCCTGTGCTTAATTAATTAAGCACCATGCCATGAAGATGTACTGGGGATAGAAGTATCTCTCCACCATTCTTGACTTCGGCAGTAGATGGAGGTGAGCGGCCAGATTCACTCTCCAGCCGCTTTACCCCCGAGGAAAGATCCGTCGATATCTATTGGATAGGAAGATGAAGATGATGGGTTTCAGAGACGGCCTGAACGCTGTGGAAAAGAGAAAAATCTCTTGTCCTTGCTGGGAATCAAACCCCGGTTGCCCAGGCCGTAGCCTGTCCGTATAGTGACTGATACAATTTTTATGCCTTCAGCTTTATTTGAAGGTTGGGAGCCATCAGTGACAAACCTTGTCAGTGCCCCTTTATCACCAAGTTACCGACAGAGTCATCATACTTTAACTTACCAAACATTAATCAGAAATAAAAATCTACTTTTAAAATAACATCATGGAATTCGAAAGCGTATGTTCTCAACAAGCCAGAACCTCACATTCAAAATAATGCTATCTCACTTCAAGCTTGTAAAAAGTAACAATTCTATCAGTCGAAATAAATCAAATTCACAGTCACAGAAAGATGAAGATTTGTCGACACAGGTGTTCAAGTAAGTTCAGCAACTAGCTTAATCTTTTTTGTAATGATGGATCATTAAATACTGAACACCTTGCAACACAATATATATTATGTGTGAAATAAATATATATATATATATATTGATGTCATATATGAAATATATTCTAAAAGTACACAATTTTAATTTGCCTTTCACATACATATTACTTTAAATGTTTCTGGAATATTATTTTGTACTCAATATTTTTAATTTTTCTTTTGCGGAATGCATTTGTGAGCGGCACAGCGAAATCCATCTGGCCACGGGTTTCTCATCACACCATAAATCATACACTTATAAAAGAGATGGATTCATGCCGTAAACCAAGGAAATAGGGGTTCTGTTCAGCATCGATTCCAATAAAAGAAAAGTATGAATGAATGAATGTATAAGGGGTGGGCCTTCTCGGCCCTTGCACCGCGACCTACAGTGACCTATTGTGCTTCCCCTTTTGATTATCCCCTCAGCAATCCTGCGTTTCGAATGAAGCGCGGGATTTTGTACGTGGGGTGGGGGTGGGGGGTCTAAATAGTCACTTGGTTCCACAAAGTATTGACAAAAGTATGTTTGAATTAAAAATAAAATGCCTCTACACTATATAGGGCAGGTTAGCTCAAGTGATAACGTTTATGACTTTCATTCGAAAGGTGCCACTTTTGAATTTCAAGTTTCCATGACCAAGGACCTCGTGGTATTCCTCAGGCCATTCAGATAAGTACCAGCATACTTCAATATACTCTGTGACCGATTCCTCTCAAATTCTCGCACGTTCATAATATATAATCCTATTCTACAGCTTCTACACCCGATACAAAGTGGATAAATAATCTACGAATCTATGAATGCAAACATCAAGAAGGTTCTATCTCCATATCTGCGCAAGTTGAAGTTATGCTAGCATCCAACACAGTCTTCACTGGTCTCACGGCATTAGAAACGTGAATAGATGAAGTGCCAAATGTCTTAATCCACAACAGTATAATAAACAGAAAGTGAAATGCATTCTGGTATACACGTACAGGGGTGCCAAAATAACAATGATTTTACTTGCACTTACAATTTTCCTATTCTTGTTATGTGTATATCTGAATTACACTGTTCAAGCTAGCATCGACATTTCTCACAATTTCTATAATATTCAGTTTCAACAAAAACAACTTCAAAATGAACATAAGAGTCTTGCGAAGAGTTAAGTGTATTCTATCTAACCAAAATCAAATGTCCTCAAGAAATTATAACGTAATATTGATGGATTAAAACTCCCACAAATAAATTAAAAAACATTCCCATAATAACAACAAACGTACTACAAACATTTCGTAGGTCCAAATAGAACTATCGCGTTACAAATATGTGATCTATTCGCAGATCCAAACAGAATTATCTTGTTACTTTCTGACGGTACATATATTGTAACTTTTTTTTTTTGAGTCAGCCAGGATACCAGACTGGAATTTGACGATGTCTTCTCGACCTCGAGACAGGTACAGTTGATAAATTTCGGCCCAAAATAGAGAGCTGGCTTCTTACCTGCCAAGTTCTGACTGTAGGTCGTATAGCTCCTTCATGTCCACTCCACGCTGAATGCTCACATTGCGGTATGGGAAACTGGGCTCCACCTCTGCAACAGGACGACAAGTTTTAAATATTTAGTTCAAATCATAGTGTGTGTGTATGTCTAATATATTTTACTGATTGGGTAAATTACGATGTATAATTTTCTTCCTCAGCGATCATTCAGTAGTTGGGTCACGTTCGTTACTTACTTAACATATAATAATAATGATAACTCAATACAATTCGTGCTTATTTACGTGCAAACTTAACAGCACAGTGACCAATTACAAATTTAGCACGAGTACACAGAAATACACAAAAATAATTAAAGAGCGAAATACAAAATATGACAGTCTATATGATAGCAATAAATTAATAACAATTCCAAGAAAAATTGATGTTAGCTTTAACAGGGAAGAAAAATAAAATAAGTGCATTTCCAATAGTTATGCCATAATTCAATTCAATTCTTTATTATTTGTGTGCCGAGTCAACAGCCGCCAGGCCAATTACAGACACAGCACAGTGTAGATACAAGTAATTACATTATGGACAATCACAACATGAAGTCAAAGACAAACTACAGGCAAGCACTCGAGGAAAAACGCATTAATGCAGACAAGTAAACAAACAAACAAATAATAATAATAATAATTCAATCAATTCAGTTCTTGTTTATTTGCATGCAAACTTAACAGCACAGAGGCCAATTATAAAGTTGGCATGACTACATAGAAATACACAAAACAAATTCAATTCATGTTTATTTACGTGCAAACTTAACAGCACAGAGGCCAATTACAAAGCTAGCACGAATAGAGAAATACACAAAGTAATTAAAAAAAATACANAATTCATTTTGCTTTACTGAACATGCAAATAATAAAATACTAACAGTTTACTGTATTTAAAATTTGTTTGGGTAGAACATTCCTGGCTCCGAATACGTCAACCTCCCTGCAGACAACATTAGCAGCAGCTGCGCATCTAGCAGAGGGGCAATTCTTAAATAAAGGGCAAACATTGAACAATTAATAATTCAATTCCTTTATTTAAGTGCCTGCCAACTTCGAGTGTCCTCTAACAGGCGAGAAATAGGCCCGAGAGAGGCCCATCACATCATGAATCAGTGTTATTCTTGAGAAGTGAATAATTGAAAAAAATCAAATGACCTCTTCGGGAATCGAAACCGCGACCTTCAGCTTTGTAAGGTAGTGCCTGGAAAAACTATGCTATCGCGTGGCCCCAACAGTANGATAAAAACAGACGGACGCAAACTTCTGCTGGATGCGCTCAAGCTTATTGGCATCAGTCGAGGTGATGGAGTTCCAAACTACTGAGGCATATTCCAACTTGGACCTGACTAAAGTAAAATATAGTACATACAGACTCTCCAGGGAGGAAAACCTGTAGGTAATGGAGCGAATAAGGCCTAAAAGCTTTATGCATTCAGAAAATATGTAATTAGCATGTGTGTAAAAATGTAACTTTGAATCAAAGAAAACACCCAGGTCCTTAATACTGCTGGTGCGTGTAATGATAGCATGACAAAGCTGATACTGGTAGCTCAGAAAATTTGTTTTTCTGGTGTATGATACAATGCGCATTTTAGCAATATTAAGTTTCATGGAGTTAGCAGTGCACCAGTCACTTACGGAAGTAATGTCAGATTGAAGTAAGAGGCAATCATGTGGAGAGTTAATAATGCGGAGAATTTTTAGATCATCGGTATCATTTGTTGTGAATTTTGAAAATGTTTCACGGAGTTATGAATAACCCTGTATTATTTGTAGGATCTGAAGTTCCCACGGCGGTGATTATGAAGAATTCTGTCTTCTAGGATGTAAAATCGTGCAGTCTGTTGAAAACCAGCATACATTTCGGAGGAACATGTTGCCTTCATCTTCAGGGTCGAAGAGTGAGGCCTGCTTACTATATGCTTCATGCTGAAATTTTCCTTGGCTTATTCTTCGACCCTGAAGATAGAGGAGACATGTCCATCCGAAATACAGGTTAACTTTCAAAGGACTACATAGCGTTACATCCTAGAGGATAAAACTCTTCCTAATTACTGTTTGTTCTGGCAACTAAATGAATCCCAAATATAACTTCTGCTGATTAAATGCCGTGATATTTAACGTTAAGGAAAGCGAACCAATAGCTGTCACTGCCTTATAAATATTTCAATTTACGATTTTCTTATAAAACTTTGTTCGAGATATAAATTAGGCATTTAATGTTGTAGTATGGTTTTAGAATCAGTCGTTCTTAGTTATAAATTAACTGTTTAGTCCTTAAATACGTTTCATGAAATAATAATGCAATTAAAATTAAACAAGATCTAAACGTTTGTGACGACGGTGTATTGGTACAAATATTATGTTTCTGGACATTATCCATCGCCCTGTTTTTATTCGAAAACACCGTACACTTTATTTTTCAAAACATAACTTTTCGGAGACTGGATTCTGTCTCAGTCTTAAGGTAAACCCTACTCAGTTGGGGCCAATCTATAGAGATAGTCTCTATCTCCGGTTCGGTCTCCGAAACGTTGTTTTGAAAAATAAACAGGACGATGTTTTTAGATAAAGACAGGACGATGGATAATGTCCAAAAGCATACTTTTTGCACTAAAATTAAATAAGACACAAATTCTGGGATGAGCACCTTATTTTTTAAAAGTCCACTCCAGATTGCATTCATGGATCATGTGTGGAAACACAATATAATCTGTGGTGGGACCATCGAAGACATTAAATAGTATTTACTTTAAAAGCTCTTTACTTAATGATTAATTTAGCGAATTAAATATTGCTCATGTATTATCTTCTAGTGTCAGAACTGCAAGGCTAATAACGACGTTTAGATAATATGGAAGTCATTACATAAGGGGACTGGACAATGGCGACAGCAGCAGGGAATCTTGGTACCGTTGGCGGACTCTGGCCATTATTGGTAATGGCAAATTAATAATGACAATATCAGATTTTGTCCTCGACCGTAACTTACTTCCAGTTACTAAACATCGCCGTATGAAACCATAGAAAACACAAGGAGAGAAAGAAACTAAACTAAAACACAGACATACTCGTATTCACAGATTAAACGAACAATTAATACGTGAGAGCATGTATATATATTCTAAAGGGTTCTGACGAAGGTGTATAACACTCGGATTACTGGGTTCTTTGGCGCTGTCCATCGTCCGGTATTCTAAAGAACACGATGTTTTGGAAATTCGACCAGTTTCTGTCTTCACGTGAGGGGGTGGGAGAAATTCAATTTGTTGGGTCCTTTAGAAGAATCTAACGTCAGGTGAATGAGGTTAGCTCTTCCTAACAGACACAACAGAGTGTCTCCCACCCCTCATCTAAGGACGCAAAGAGATGCAGGTTCCGAAACCTTGTGTTGTTTAGAACATCGGACGATGGTAAGGCAAAAGGTAAAGCAGTACCTGCGTTTAACTGATTAAGCACCATTCCATGAAATGTATGGGGGAGTGGAGGAGCTCCATCATTTTTTACCTCGGCACTAGATGGTGAGTAGTCAGTTTCACGCCCCGATCACTTTATGACTGGGGAATCAGCCTCCGGTACCTATTGTATAGGAGGTTGGATGGGCCCTAGAACCACTAGAGAGAAATCTGTTACCCCTTCCAAAAATCTAACCCCGGCCATCTAGCCCGTAGCCCGTCGCTGTACCGACTGAGCTATCCCGGCCCTTACCGGACGATGAACAAAATCCAAGAACCCAGTATTTCTGAACGTTAAAATATGGCTGTATACTGTCGCAACAGCACAATTATACAGGAGTCGGTAATTGGCAGTGTAAGACACATGTCCTCGAACGTGAATTAAAAATGTCCCTTCATTCAAATTACGGGGCGAAATTTTTTGTGAACACGACATTCCCCTATGCTGAAGACAGGGTTCGCCAAAAAATGCGTTCCACCTCCATCATATCAGGATCTAAATATATGAACTTTAAGTAGGATTTGAGGTTATCTTAGAGGTGGTAATGAAGAGTACTGTTTTCTGGGATATAATGGCGTGTAGTCCGTTGAAAGTTAGCTGATCTTCTCCGAAAAGTCGTCTGACTTTCACCGGGCTACACGGCATTATATCCCGAAAGATGGTGCTCTGCATGTTACTTAATCACTAGGGACCGGCTTTTAATGCAAATGCATATTTCTTTCTTGCAACCAGAAAGTATGCTCGTTTGGATATGTGTAAGAATTACTTCATTTCTTAAATTCTGGACATTGTTTGATGGTGCATATAAATGCATATTGAGCCTGTTCTATGAATAAGCATCATATTTTCGAAGATCTCTATTTATACTGCATATTTCCTTTTTAAAATATTTATCATATATATTTTTTTATTTGATGTTCAAATTTTCAATCGTGGTCTTGCGTATACAATTTTTTTTCCGTATTACCATATGTTGCATATTTGACTCCACATTTCGTCATGACTCATGTTTCTGATGCAATACCCAGGACGGGACTTCCCCGATCCCTCTACTCGTAACTTGCCTCATCCGCGTATCACCAAAGTGGCCGCGAAGAGATAGTCGGAAGCGTTCACATGTAGCCGCTATCAACGTAATACGATTCAACCTCGATCCCTGTACTCGTAACTTGCCTCATCCGCGTACCATCAAAGTGGCCGCGAAGAGATTAGTTGGAAGCGTACACATGTAGCAGCTATCTACGTAATACTATTCAACTGATAAGGGACTTCCCTTATTTATTTCCGAAGTCTCCATGAGGTTCGTTACGCTTCTTCATTTGAAGCTGGGGCCATTCACATCATTGGTGACTAGTCCGTAGTCTGCTCTTTGTGATTGATGCCACAAGTTATATGATGAAAGCCGGTACTGCTCTTAAAATTATATTTCAAAATATGACACGTTTGGCTTGCCTTGCCTTGCCCATGGGTTGCACCGTGTTGCAGAAATAATTCGTGCAAATTTTCCGCATGTTGACAAGGTGGTGTCTTCTGTGAAGAAGGTATTTGTTAAAGCGCCATACAGAAAAGAAGCCTTTAAAGCAGTAGTACC